GCGGTATTATAATTTAATCCATGCAGATAGAGACCACTGCGTTCAAAAGTATACGGCAATACATGTTCTTCAAAAGAATCATCACAGAGCTATTAAATGAAAGTTGAATGAAAGTTGGATGAAAGTTGAATGAAAGTTGTTAGGAAAAAATAAATTATAAATTAATTATATAAAATAGCGTACTTCAGCTACTGCAGTTAAACTATTCGTGTATAAAAATCTTGCTAGATCTCGCTTGCTTTTTCCTACTTGGTCCAAATGTTTGTCAAGCCACTCTTCACCTTTCAAAGCATGTGCAACAAGATTGTTTTGAAGTTCACCCATTGAATGTTTACTGGTAACTAATATATTGCCACTGGGAAGTCCGGCAATAAAAATGATACAACCGTTTTCTTTCGCGGTAATTTCGTAAGGACTTACTGTGTTTGTAAGAATAGACTCCCACTGGATATAAATTTATATTAAATAAGGAAGCATAACGATTAATAAAGAAATTTATCTAGGTAATTATGATAATAGATATTTTACTTTTGTTCTTTCTACTTCGCCAATGTTGAAAAATTTATCGTATCCGCGGATAACAATTTCATATCGATTATCGTTTGTCTGTCTTGTGAACAAACCCCTAGCAGGAGTAAGAACGTCTCTTTTTTTATAATCCCAATCATTCATTTTCCATGAGGAAATATTTAGTCCTGAAGGTTGATGTATGTAATCAGATTTTCTAATTTGACCTGTTTTTCGTGATTTTCCTTTTTCTCTACATTTTTCATATAATTTTTGAATGAGTTCATGAGCTTCTTGTTTATCTTGTTCAGTTACAGTGTATAATTCTTCAAGTTTTGGTTTCTTCGTTCTTGAAAACTCGGACATTTTTATAAGCAATTGATAGCAATTGATAGATAAATTTTCGTGTTGAGAGTTGAGAAACACGAGATATAAAATTTTGATGCAATCACATGATTTATATCTTTTTTTTTTTACTGCGCAGCGGTTACTGCGTGTTATTTTGCGCAGTT